CATTGCATAATTTTTTCTGGCAAGAAAGTCACCGCGCCACACGCCCCTCCCCAAGTCCGAAGGTGCCCGTACGCCTATGACCATGTATCCCTGACCAAATGAAGTTGCATTAATGGAATCAAACTCAATGTAGAGCTTTCTTTGCAAACTCCCTGACTGAGTAAACGACAAAATAATGAACAACCAAACGAGCTCAAAGCAAACAAAAGCCCACCCGAACAAAAAAACGTCTAAGAGTGCAGTGCTATGAATTGTTTTGTAAAAGTCAAAATTTCACCAAATTTCCCACCATTTCATCTCAGGTAGTTTCGAGAAAGTTGCTTGGGCTGTCCACGCATCACGTGGGAAGCCCAAGTTCTTCCAATCTTCGCATCGGAAGAACTGGGCACCATGTCTAAAAATAACTTAAGAGGGATTACCTTGGGTATAAGGCCTATATGGGGGATTCACTCTCTTAACTTGATAATCTCTTACACAAAACGGATCACTCCTACTTGGGTTGTTGCTCTGGTTTTCACTTATCGCAATCTTCTAATATGAAGTAATTCTTAAAACAGTTTACATATAAACCACTTATTGTTTCACAGTTCTCTATAGATAAATTAACAAAACAATGATTAACAGTACATTTTGTGTACATGTTTGACGGGGCACAAAAGAAAACTTAGGGATGAAGTCATGAGGAGAGCTTTCACCTTGGAAGAGGGGGAGGGTACTCCAATATTTTGGCCCAAGTAGGGACGATCTGTTCTGCCAACAGGTAGAGTTTTTAGGTTGTTTCGCCTAAAACAGGTTCTATAGTTTCACTATCTAGTTTCTTGAACAGGGTGTCTGTGTGGTTTTAGCCTGTATACTGTACAGCCACACACTCTCCTCAGAGTGAGCAGATGTACACAGTCAAGACAGGATAAAGGCGAAGAATTAAATCGACACTGTCACAATATAATTGCTTAAAGTTGTTATAAATTCATGAAATGGCCCCTGAATTTATTTCCTAAGAACTTAATTGGCTCTTGCTAAATGATTAAAAGCAATTTCTTGAAGGAAGTCCACACTGGAGCTAC